GTATCCACAGTGGCACGTTACCGTGCTGCCAATCGGCGTTACGCAGCTGTCCTCTACAACATGACAGCAGGCATGGGATTCTCGGCTTCATCTCATGGGGAATCATTACGTGCTGCAACGGATATATACTCTCTGGCAACGGAGGTTGTCACTCAACAACCTCGTCCACAACGGAACTTTCTAGCTTCGTAGCAATGGTCTGAGATGCACAACCTTGAGCCCCCAGGCCGAGATAATGTACAACCCTGAGTCAACGCCTGAACAGAACGGCGAATTAAATGTAAGTACGAACGAATGGCGAACGCGAAAGAAACGGAGGCGTAGCAATAACGATAATGCAGTGATTTACTTCATTAACGTACGTAACAGAAACAGATAGGCAAGGCGCAATCAATGCCGTTAATTTTCGTACCAAATCTGGACGTAATTCCTCATAATTACTGTTTATTTTGCGTTACGGTTTCTTTTATTTTAGAATACAAAAAGCCCGTAAAGTATTTTGCATACTCTCTATCACCTTTTCATTAAGAAGAAAGCCATGTCCAAAAGTTAGTATAAATAATACAGATCTCCCTGGGGCTAAACTGTCAAATATCTCGGACAACCACTTGACATGGAAAACCTGCATCAAAAGAAGCACAATTAAAAGAACGAAAATTGTCATGGCTTCTCAACAGAAGGTCGCAGCTGCCTCTATTCAACAAGTGCTGTTGCACGAAATAATCTCCAAGAAGAGATTGTAAATTTTACAGATGTGAAATTAAAAAAAAACACCTTATTTTAGCTCAAACCGCCATCGTCAGTATTTTAGCTCATATGTACACATCTCCTTATTGTAGCCCATTGCCTTCTTCGTAAGGCTACCCCGTGTCGTTTCCCTCGTACCGAGCATATTTCGCTCGATGGGTTGCACCCTGTCCTACTAGCCTGACGTCTAGCGGATTTCGCAGTACTCGAGCAAATAAACATTACTTACTCTCGTTATAAAACCAAAAGAGCAAGGTCCTAAAGTTTGGAGCGTCTTCATTTGGGTGGCCTTTAGCTACAGGTCAATTTCTGAAAGTTAAAAATTGCTGCTCCCACCACCCTCTAGTCCTGTTTCAATCGACAAGAAATTGACCTCTGAAAAATTTCAGCCCAATAAGACAGTGTCTAGGTGACCCCCAAACGCTTTGAAGTTGGAACATAGTATACGAAACAAATAATTCCAATAAAAAAACAGTAAACTAGTCCATCTTAGCTCAATTTCTTCTTTTCCTCGATTTTTGTGGCATATTCACACAATCTCAGCAATTGTTTAAAAACATTTTAAATTAAATTAAACGCGAGTTTATTCAACAATATCTAAAATAACTTTTTACCTTCCCGTATACATACGTATATACGGAATATTATACATAGTATACGAAAAGTTATGTAATTCTGCGGAAAATCGATTTAAAAATTTCAACAGACATATAATTTTTCGGGTCCCTTGATTCCGAAATATTGGTTATTTTCGAAACTCCGTCTGTCCAGCCGTCCGTCCGTCCGTCCGTCCGTCTGTCTTATGGTCGGTCTGTGAACACTATTAGCGTCTAAACCATGCGTAGGTTTTTTTCTAATTGAAGAAACCTCTGTCCATCTAGTCGAGTTGAAACTTTGAGATTTTAAAAAACATTCTTCAAAATTTGGGGTTACTTTACATGAAATCCCCAGACATTTTCTAAATTTTCTCAAAAAACACTCGAATTTTTTCTTTAAATTTCTTGTAAGAATAGAGTAACATATACTTATAAACGTGGCGTAGGCCAGATTTTCACAGTTAACTCTGAATTTTCGAAATTTTCAAAAGTATGAATTTTTTTCGGATTCTTCTTACAATAAAATTATTTATAGAAAATTTTCCTTCAAATTAAATTTGTTCTCCATAGTGAGTTCTTTCATTAAAAGGTTTTAGTAGTTTTCGCTCCGTGTTGCGTGCAATATGTGTAATTTTAAAAATTACAAAAATAAGATTTTCTCAAAAACGTTTCCAAATTTTTCTTTTAAACTTTTGGTAGGGTTAGTACTAAATGCACTCTATGAGATGACTTAAACGTCATATTGCTCTATTCATTTGTTTTTTTCAAAAATTACAAAATTGTAATATTTTTGACTTTTCTCTTATGTCGTTAATATTTATACTAACGGCAATTTGTTCACATTATTAAATGTGCTTTAAATAATGTCATATAAAGTTTCTCGAAAACTCAACAGTTTTCTGTGAAAACTAGCCCAAAATGTCGCATTTGCAGAAACGCTCAAACGCCATTTTCTCAAAAAACGGCTCTATTTTTTCTTCAAAGTTTTCGAAAGGGTCGTGTTATTTGCGCTTTTTCATACGATGTAAATTTTATTTCAGGGTATTTTTTTTTCTTTCAATGATTACACATATGTATTTTTTTTTTAAAGATATCTCACGCCGGTAATATGCACATTTCCAGTAATTTGTAAACATTATTAAAGTTCTTAAAATGATTCCAAATGTTTTTCGAATACTTAAACCTTTTTTTTTAAAAAAAAAATGCTTCACATTTCGAATTTACAATAGCGCATAAACGCTAGTTTTTTTTTTAAAGAGATCTACATTTTTCAAAGAAAATTTCCATTTAAAACGAGGTTTTACTGTTCTTAAATAATCTTAAAATAATATTTCCGTTCTACAATTAGGAAACCGAAAAAAAGAGAAAATGTCAAAAAAATGTACTTTGGGCAGCGATAGATGTCAGCTGGCAAGAATATATGGCAAGCCCGAGTAGCAGGCCGAGACCAAAGGCAATAGAAAACTTATTCGGGAAAATCTGTGCCATTCTTTAGCATCACTAGTCTAGATTTATGCAGGCACCATTTACTGTGTTGCTTCCTTTCGTGTTATAGCAAAGTGCCTGAATTTTGGCGGTTTTACCCCATTTTTAGCCATGGCTTGTTCGTTTCGTTAAGTTGTTGGGATTTCAGGGACTCCTTTGAGAGTCGGGGAATAATTTTCCGTCCCAGTTCAACACTAATTCTGGGCAGACTTTTATATTAAATTTGTGCTGAATATCTGTGTGCCTCTCTTCTCTATTTTTTCAAAGTCGTTGAAAAGAAGTGTAATTTATTACCAGATTTACAGTTTCATGCCCAAAAACTTCCGCAGCAGCCATTAGTATTTTATCTCTATTTCTATTAGTGATTGTGCATCAATCAAAGACTCATCAAATTCTCGTTTCTCTCATGTGATTTCCAAGAGTTCTCAATACAAGGGACAAGTTGCAAATTTGCTTTTCTATTTGTTTATCTTTTATAATGTATTATTTTAAAAAGCAAAAAAACTCGTGATAAAAATCGCATAGAACAGTTTGTGGTGCGATTCGTTCGCGCGCGCTGTCGATTCAGGGGACGTCCATCAATTAGTTCGTAACGCTAAAGAGGGGGAGGGGGGTTTAAAATAGCGTTACATAGGGGTAGGGGGAGTATTAGTGTAAAGTTACCAGAAAATGATGTTTTTTTTCGCTTTTCAACATTTTCTGAAAATTCGTTTTTTGTCTTGTACTAAAACATTAAATATTAACTAATTCTTTTTTAAATCTAAATAAATTAAAGTAGAACAAGTTACAAATGTCCCTTCGACTGCGCATGCACAAGGAGGGGGGACTCCTACCATCAATTGCTACTTCCCCTGAAAATATCGCTCTCTCACTCGCCCTGCGCGCCAACCGTAGTGGCCGGGTCTGTAAGTCTGCAAATTCAGGCTGTTGTGGCTGAACGCGCAGTAGTCAGCTACCCAAATTAAATCAGTATCAGCTGTGTATGCACAAACGCTCACTCTTAATATATACGGGTTCAGTAAAAGAAACATACGTGTAGGAAGCATTGTGTTTGTTCCTAAGACAACCGTTCACAGGTCATGTGGCCTTAAAATCAAGTTCCCTTCTTCTCATCCCGATCTCAATCCCATCGAATTCGTTTGGGGTTACATTAAGAATCGTGTTGCAAAACTAAGCATTGGTACCCCTGTGCGAGTTAAAGAAAATGTATGCCGGACATTATTTTCTGAATATTGCCCACATCAATGGAAGAAACGAAATATAAGAAAACAAACATGATTATGGACGAAGAAGTGGGCAAAATTGTTTCTTTACGTGACAGTTGAAAACGTACAAATTATTTTTTGAAATTTTTGTTGTAAGTATTTCCTTTCCAAAATAGTGAAAGACCTAAGTATTATAGAGCGTCTTTGAAAAAATCTCGAAAAGGAGATGAGAAAATACCGAATTCATTCAGACAATAATTAAAGCAAGTAATGAAACAAAAATGGAGGAAACGTTCTTCTTCTTGTACCAAAAAACTTAGATATTTAGCATTCTTTGTCCAAGTTTTTGGGATGTTCTATAATAAGTCAGGAAGTCTTATATTCAATAAGTCTGTTTACTGAGGAAGTGATTGAAGTACCTTTGGGCAGTTATACAGCAGCCAAAGTTGAACAACCTGCGACTTGTGATTGCGATCATTGGGTGATAAAAATAAACCTACCAAGAATACCAAGATTTTCAGCATTTTGTTTTCAAGTTTGTTAAAGAATTCTTCTTCAAAAATTTTCAGAGTTGCTGTGGAAGGGGAATTGGACACTGGATAAATTTAATTTCTGAAAAACCTATATTTTTAGAGATTTTTTAAACTTTCAATCACACAATGCAGTTTAAAAGTGACATTTTAAATAAAAACATAAATAATTTTAGTTTATTTATTTTTAAGACTTTGGAGCTAAATTTATAGACATTTTAAGACCAACACCAAATCATGGAATACATTTTGTACGGTACTGCACCATACAGGGAAATCGTAATGATAACAGCCTTTTACAATTGTAATTTTTTATTTTGCATATTGAATTCTTCTTTTTCGGTAATATCTTTTCTAATGAAATGGAAGTGTAAAAATATCGAGTTTTTATTTTGTTCATAATATTCAATTTCAGTTATGCGTTTTTCTCACATTTT